AGCGCCTTAAAAACACCAGAAAGATCACACAGCGCCATTTAGTCCAAAACTTAGCAGAGCTTGTAGGTGACAAACAAGCAAACGGCCCATCTGATGGTAAACAATTACCGCAGCCTATGGACGCCTGAAACAGCAGGGGTGGTCCGTGCGCGTTGCCAACCCTTAAGAAACTTAATATACCGTTCTTGAAAAACCTCATGCTGTAGTCTCTTGAGAAAACCTCGGCATGTAGTTCATTTCACAATCTAAGTGTACGTGGGAGGAAACCGCACTGTCCGAGACCACTTAGGTTTCAGCGTGTGGGGATGAATTCCCTGTCGATGTTTTACATGAACAAAGATAATTCACATTATAACTATCCTAAATTCAATCTAAATTTAGGATAAAATTATCCTAACTTCCTGAGAATATAGCAATTTAATTTACTATATCGAGAATATATGGCACGATTCTCACGACTGTCGCAAACCAATCGCACATCCTACATTTATATCTCGACACGGCAACACAACGAAATTACGATGACATGAGCCGAGGTTCGAACCCCAGTGGTGCCCCTAGACTAAAGTCGTATCCATCCATAAGTCCTATCGCGGGTTTGAGCCATCTGCTCCTGCCCTCTATTATACGGGAAGCTGTAAAGGTCATTTGTGGCAAGCAGCATTAGAATAGTTCGAATAAAAAGCTCTAATACGTCCTCTTAATGTGTTATTTATATTACCAATTGTAACACAACTCACAAGTTTTAGTGGTTTAACAAATTTACGAGCTTTCTACAAATTTGACTTACGTTAGGTCTTAGGGTGCGCTAACAAATTTATTTGTGACAGAAAAGGATTTTATTGTTCCCTCGCTCGTTGGGATATTGTTTTTATTTGATTATTCCAATAAAAAAACGGTAATAATGTTTTGATTGATTAATCGTTAATCTATTCATGTTTACATATAATAAAATCGTGACAAGGTTTGACTGTTAATCACGTAAAAGCAACTGGAAGAATTATTATGAAATGTTCACAGAATATGCTAATAAATATGGGTCAATACAGATTAAAGAAAGTGGGGGAAATTATAAGATATTTTATTAAAAATGGAGCAAAAAGTAATCTACATAATAACACTCTACACATACACTACACTCCTACTAGACATTGGTTTTATAATATACTAGCTGTACCCTCAACTTCGTCCGTGTGGAATTTAACTTTATTTTTCTAAAATAAAATTTGCTTAAGTTACTCCTTATTATATCAGCTCCCGGAGATTAGCCGGAACAAACAGACAGACAGTCAAAAATTTTAAAAAATGTTATTCTGGTGTATGTACAGTATTTATATTCATATGCATGTAGTAAACAACGGTTATTTCAATATTACAAACAGACACTTCAATTTTATTTTTATGTATATATAATATATATAGTAAGAGATATGATTAAACAGAGACGGTGTTGTGTCATAGTGGTTTGTTACCTTTTACTCCACTTCATTATGATGGGCGCAATAAAATGGAGACATAGAAACTTTAGTGGAAGCACAATTTTTTTGGTTTCCGTCAATTTAAGAGGGTAAAATAAAATAAGGGATGACAGTTTGTTTATGGAGAATCATTTTTGAAGGTAGAACGATAAAACTTTTCTCTCCTGTTTTAGGTTAGATTATTGAATATTTTTTCTTTATTTGGCCAAGGTAATAGCACTATAAGACGCGGACGAAATCGCGGGCACAGGTAATACGTAATAAACCACGTCACAACGCCTTCTCTGTATAAATCCATTAATCTGTAACTATCATATATCTATGATAAAACGAATATCTCGTCAAAAACAATAAATCCATAACGCGAGATGTGACGCGAACAAAACAAACGCCATTCACCAGACCGGAACTGGTATTACAATGGCGAATCATTAGCGGGGAGAACAAAGTTCCCTATATTTACAATAATTTACGGAGATTGCCAGTGGAAACGTAATATTTCCATCTCCCAGGATGTGAACAGGCGATAACGTGCGATAATGACGTGTCAGCCGCTCCAAGGAGTCCGTGTTAAGTTACAAGAGTTAGACCTAAGTATCCTAAGGAAATAAAAACCATCGCTCCTAAGAATATCCTTCAATACTTGTCCCGAGTTCTTGACGGACTCTGAAAATATCGAACTCTGAAAAAGGTCGAACACAATATATCTATGTAGGTCGTAATGCTAAAGATCTTAGCACCTGTAATAGCCCAAACCCCTCAATAATAATAAAATAGACCTATGTAAGTATACCATATATTATGAGAACCACAGGAGAAATGGGATGTTGTTATTAAATATTAGTAAACAGAAAAACATTTTTTTATATCATAGAGGTGCTTGCGCAAATGAGCTTGCGGTTCACCTTATGTTAAGTGATTAGTTACTACCGCCCATGAGCATCCGTAACACCAGGGGAATTGGAAGTGCGCTGCCAGCCTTTTAATGTACACGCTCTATTCTTGAATGTTTCAATATTTCCATCCGAAACACATCATATAAAGTTAACAGATGACCATTTAGAATAAGCCCTTTCTCAATCATTGGTGTAGTACCAGGGATTGAGGTTTTATGCTTATTATATCCAAACATTTACATGTATGGATATATCTTCTTACGCAGAGCTGTCCAAACTATGATTCGCGGGTCACATGCGGCCCACAGTTTGAATTGATCCGGCGCGCCAAATAATTTGATGAGAAATTATTTTCTAACCTGCTTTTATAAACACTGCACTGCGTCTAACTACAACCAATATTGACGTTGCTATTGACAGAATTGTAAAATATAATTTTTTACAAATATTTTGCGGTCCCTCATTAGTTTTAGATATTTTTATAGCCCCTAGAGATCCTATCAAGTTTCTTACCTGATAGAATGCACCGTGTTAGGATACGAATCCGCGATCATCGAGGCTGTCAAAATCGCCAACAATGATAGATCGCTGTCGGCTTAACATTTGTACCTCGTAGTTCCCGCCTTTATGGCTCAAGTTTCTTTATGAAAACAAATTACTATATTCGACCTAGTGCGTTCTTCCCCAAACCGGTGACAAATGTTGTTGCGAATAATAGTGCCAACATTAGATAAAGCCTGCTGGGTAAATATTTATGAAGCGATACGTATTATATAGGTATTACGTTAACTGATCCCTTATTCTCTAACACAAAGATAAATGTACTGAATGATCTGAATATATTTATATATTACATTTCCACAGGTATTTTATCTAATACAATAGTGTACCTTAAAAGTATTTTCCTTATATTACTTATATAAATAAGGTTATCTTAGTGAATTCATATAGAGAAGAAGAAAACAGATAAAAAATAGAAGAGTAATTAAATTAGATGAGATATTGGACGCATTCCACTTTTTTGTTTTATTTTTTTATCAAATCAGTATACTTAAGTATTAGGAAATTTAAAAAGAAAAATATAATTTATTTTATTTTATTAATTAAGTAGCGTTATTTCAACAATTTCTTTTCTAAAAAATCATACGCTACTGCATAGAAAATAATGTTTCATTTTGTGTGTATTATGCGGAATATTCTAGAAAAAATTACACAAATATAAAAAACAAGATTGATTGCAATCGGTTAACACAAATAATAATGTATTCCTTCTTATAGTGTTGTCTTATTATTATATATACGACAATATCTTATGTGTATGTCTCCTTTTCTTGTTTTTCTCTTACGTATGTATGGCTGATCTAGTGAACACATTATCTTATAACATTTTCTAGGTTTGCTGGAAGAAATCTCTTTTTAGAGATAAGCTCGCCCTTGTACATTACATTTACCTTATTACTGTTCTTTTTCCCTATGTGTGTGTACAAGAAATTATAAAGAATAAATTTACCTAGATATAAAACCTATTCTATTCCCAAATATCACGCACGATGACTTTGAAAGGGTCAGATGACAGATTAACCGGCATCGCTTTATGACACGTACAGAATTTAATTTTAAATGTAAAGAATTACCCTAAACGAAGCTTTAAAATGGTTTAGACATTTCAAATATCTCACAACTATAGGATACCGAGCCCTGAACGCTGCCAGTGTTGCTCAAACTATTCAAAATGAGATGTTACCCACCAAATCATTCAAGTTTACAACTCTCAAAGTTTACGAAACTTGTGAATTGTTTACGAAATTAAATCTTCTCTATCACTTTCGAAATTATGCCATTAAGCAATAACATCATATTTATTAGGATTATATAACTATCATTTTATATGTCACCTTAAGATTGTGAAGTTCGTTAGATAGTAGTACAGTAGTAGTACCTTTTTGCAGTAGTTGCATATAGCCGATTTTGTAAATGGTCACAGTAGCCATAGTATGCCTGAAACACCGAGCGTCATCGATGACAAGGTTGTAGACTGTCGGCAAATTATGAACTGAGACGACTTGCATTCCATGGATTCACAGTGTCAACCACACATCTATTTATCGAGGAAGGTCAAGCATTACAGGCTACGATCAATAGGAGTGGAGCTACATTGAAAAATGTTTCAAAAACGAAGAAAATATAGGGCATAGCGCACAAAATATTATAATACTGTTTATTCATTTTAAGTATATTTTTTAAGCGGGACAAGAGCTGCAACTTAGATGTCATCCGACTGTTGCGCCTGAGAGGATATATCCTGGTCCTGCTCTGACTGGATTGTTAAGGAACGGGAATTATCTACATGCCAAGTCCACGATATAAAGTGCCAACTGTCGTCTATATAGGACATGAACAGCACCATAGAAATAATATCGTCTGGTGACGTCAGTGGTAAATACCCAAGCATTGTCATTTTTCATGATTAAGATGTCACGCCTGCATATCCTATTATTTCATAGGCTTCAACCGAAACTGAACTTACCAAGCAAATTGCTTGGAAGAAATCGGTGGAGATAGAGGTACTCACGCAGGCGATTGTTAACAAATTTTATTTCTATATTTCTATACCAATTTACACAAATCAGTCCAACATTACACTTGTTTCTATTGGAGTCCTTTTCACTTGCCCTATTTCATCTTCTATGGTCTGCAATGTCTTATCTTTAGTTTCTGGTAGTATATAATACAATATTAATATACAAAATAATGTACATAGACCACAAATCAAATACATGCTATGCAGTCCTATTCTTAATATTGCATCAGGCGCCAATTTTAATGCAATGAAATAAAATATCATAAAAGATACACCTGAAGTACAAGATCCCAATCCTCTATGCTCCAAAGAGAAAATTTCACCAATTATAATATAACTAACTGGAATCAGTCCTAAATTTGATATAAAATTTTGTACGAAAAGAATAAATAGTATAGACCATGTTAAATAGATGCCTAAATCATATTTAGATTTTAAAAAGAGTAATATGCTTATAAGTAACATTAACAAAGCCGATGTAGTTCCCGTAGATAACACTACCGTCCGTCTTTTAAAACGGTGTATAAAGAAACACGATGAGAATAATCCAACTGCTATCACCGATTCTGCAATTATCGAGCAATATATTGCAGTATGCTTATCGTTAACTAATTCTTTCATGATTTGTATAACGTAGGAGAAAAAATAAAACTTGCCTGATGCATCACTAGATAAAGTCAACACCGTTGCTGTAATAAGTGAATTTAAAAAGTTCCTTTGGGATAAAGCTTGAAATAACACATTCAATACATTTGCTTGTTTCCGTTTCTTTTTCTCTATTCTCTGACTTTGCGATGCTATCAAAACAGTCAACTCATTTTCTTTTTCCACCGAATTCCCATTTATCCAATAGAATGATTCCTTGCAATCTTCAAATCTTCCCTTTAATGCCAAAAAAGAGGGACTTTCTGGCCAGAACCAGGTCAAAATTATGACAATTAAAGCTGGAAGTATAGCAAATATAGATATTTGTTTCCAAGTCCAACAGAGTGCTAAGGAATGACAGCACAGAACACCTAATGATACAGAAAACTTCTTAATGGCACCGAAATAACCTCTTCTCTTTGCGTCGGTGTATTCACTGATCATTATAGCATTAATGTGGACAGCACCGAAACAGATCCCGTGAATTAATCTTCCAATGAATAATGTGGTAATGCTGGTGGCAAAGGAAAATGTTATCCAACCTGCAGCGACAATAATGTTGACAAGGATATTGGTCGATTTTCGCCCAAATTTCTGCATTATAGGAGAGAGGACAAAGAATCCTATTAACCCTGTGATTGCATTACATGCACCTGAAAAATAATATATAGACACGTGTTTTATTAAATTAGTAGGGCAAACAAGCAATAAATAGCACCAGAAGTACTAGTTTCACATATTAAATTTTGATATCACAGGACTAAGTTGAGTCTGTGCACTCTGTAATTTCAATGCTATATCTCACTCCGATTTGAGTGAGACAGAAATATGCAGTCGACTTTGTAGAAAGTCTACCTCTAGTAATAATCCAGATAATGTAAATACATACAGAATATACATTACGAAGGATCATTCTCATGAATACAAATGTTTGCATCGTAGGAATCGAACCCGTGACGATCAGATGTAAGGCGGGGCTACCACTAGACCATCGAGGGCGTCAATATTATGGAAGATTATGTTTGTTTTATATCAAAGTTAACTAGTTCTCAGAACCTGGGACATTATTCCGAATATACCGTTAACGAACTATCCACTAACCTAGCCAGGATGCATTGTCTTGTGTTCCCTTAATATCTGCAGTGGTTGACAGTATAGATAAGATGAGTACAGATGGAAATGCCATTGTCATACCTCCGGAGAAAGAGTATATAATCAGACAGGAGGCAATGAAAGACTGAAACAGAAGAGGAATGAATACAGTTATAAACGCTTAAATACTTAGGTATATGTTAAAATTCATTGGTACATTTAATTGAATGGAAAGTATAAAATTAAAATATAACAATAAAAAAAAACAAAATGAACTAACATTTGTATATGTTTCATTCCACGGAAAGTACAAAAAAAAACAACATCATTAAAAAGTAATCAATTACAATTAGTATCAGAGTTAATACACAGACGTAGTACTAGGAAAAAATGGCATAACAATCAAATAACCATTCGAATGCTTTCGAGCCATTTGAAACCTAATGTAGAACAATTATAAATAATTTATTTATCTCTTTACGGACGTAGATTAATACCACAGGATTCAAAATAATTTTGCTTTTTGATCCATAATATAAATAGCATAACTATTTACTTGGATTTCTATATACAACGATGGTAATATTGAAGCCTACACTAGGTAACCAGCCAGAAACACCATGAGTATCGCGTGCGTGCTCCGACCCTTAAAAACCTTAAAATGCCCTTCTTAAAAACCCCCATGCCTCTAGAAAAAACCTTGGTAGGTAGATCATTAAAGTTAAAATCATATGTAATTTAATATTTTGTGTAATAAAGTTTCGTAACCCGCCTTTTTACAAGACCTCACTAACGACATGTATTTTCATACATTTTACACTTTTGCATGTTTTTATAATTCTCAAATGTTTAATAAATGCATTTAAATTAATAAAATATAACTTACCTGTCTAAAAAAATATTTATCAGGCATTGTTTCAAATGTCTTAAATACTGTCGTTATAATTTTTATTCAATAAATAAATAATTCAACACATTATTCAGGAAGTATATACGCCATGTAAAATGTACAATACCACCACACTTACCACACTTCGACTGTAACTAAACGTTTAAATTGTACATTGTTTTTAATTCACAAAAATATATTTTACGCAAGTATTATCTGGTCGTCGTGAATAACATGTTGCTTAAAGAATGTTAACACAAGTGTTCCAATTTATTTTTTAATCGCTTTAAAATTGATCAGCATAATACAAAAGACATTCTAAATTATTCAAGGAAATTTAAAATTACGTATTCATTTGTTCGAGAGCGTAGTTGCCTAGTGGCTTTCTACCAAAACCTCACATGGGTTACATTTTGCTGGATATTTATGATTTGAACGTGGCTGATTAAAATATATATGCAATTAAGGTTAAGTATATTATTTAATCTGTTTGTAATAAGCACATAGCTACAGTAGAATAGTACATATAACTTGTAGTAATAATAAATGATAGTAAAGTTAGAGTTATTTGTAGACATTTAATACAGCAGAGCGCAGTGACAGAAGTGTCTATAAGAACAATAGTAAAAAAGAACACTTCTATTTCAAACATAGATAATGAATGTATAAAACTGGCTGAATTTTTATTGTAGGTCTGACATTTATAAGTAAGAGTAGACTTATCATTAAACAACTTAAATACATAGACATTAGTAGTAACTAAAGTAATAATAAATGATAAAAAAAGAGATGCAGTCATAGAAGTGTTTACAAAAACAATAATCAAAAAGAACACTTCTATTTTAAATACCGATAAAGGTATATATAACACTACCAGGGAATCTCATTGTAGGTCTAACAACTGGCATTCAAATAAAAATGCGATAACACATACAGACAAATTACAGCAAAAGAAAAGTGAAGTGGTACTCAAAAGTTTATATTGAATAAACCATAAAATTAATCTCGTTTATAGCTTAGAGATAACGTATTAAGTACTAAACGCAATTTAATGAACAACATTAAAATTGCCAAGTAGCCATAACGAATTAATATAATTGCTTAACTGCTAATCAACTTTTAATCTTAACTATTTTAGTATAAGATACAGTATTTTATGTATTAACCCTTATCTGTTATTTGGATTTTGATTAGTCATAAATCATAAATTGGTTATTTTGGTGGTATAAACATTTGGTGACAGACTGTCTCATACTTTTTAACATTCCTTCTAAATTTATAGTTTTAGAAAAGTTCTCTTTATACGCCATGTTTTTTATATATTTCTTTGCTGTTTTACCGTAGTTCATATTTGCACATTGCAACATAAAATAATGTAATCTACGTGTATTTATAATTTAGACACTCATATAGTCCACCGATTCGTTCCAATCATCAAGTAACAGATCAGGAATAAATTTACAATGCCATTTATTCTACTATACATGTACAACATCTACACTTATATTTATATAAATTGAATTAGTTCAAGAGTTATAAAATTGATTTTTGCATGTTTTAACATTTGCTTGCTTCAACAGTTGTTCTCTTTATTCCTCTGATTTCGTCTTCTATATCTTGCAATGTTTTATCTTTGGTTTCTGGTAATATATAATATAATACAAATATACAAAGTAGTAAGGATAATCCGTACATAAAGTACATTCCTTGTAATCCTATTTCTTCTATTATAACAGGTGTAAATTTCAGGCTTATGAAATAAAACGTCATAAATGATATTCCTGAAAAAGAGGGCCCCGAACCTTTGTATTCTAAAGGAAATATTTCGCCAATAATATTGTAACTAATAGGTATCAGTCCAATGCATGTTATAAAGTTTTGTATCATTATAACACTAAGTGCAATCCAAGATAAATATAACAGTGTCACAAATTGTGATTTTAAATATATCAAAATACTTATTATTATCATTAACAAACCTGACATAAATCCTGAACAACAAATTACGGTGCGTCTTTTAAATTTGTGTATAACAAAAAGAGATGCAAATATTGCGACTATTGTTATTATATCGAAAAATATTGTACAATATGCTGCGGACGATTCGTTCCCAACGATTTCTTTTATTATTTGTGTAACATATATAACGAAATAAAATCTACCAGATGCGTCTACAGCTAGCAATAATACTGTAGTCACAAAAAACGGCTTGAGGAATGCTTTGTCACGGCACAAGTGTAACAATTGTATTACCATATTAGATTTATTTAATTTATTCTTTAGTCTCGTTTCTGTCTGGGCTGCAATTAAAATTCTCAATTCGTACTCTTTTTCTCCTGACTTTCCATGCAACCAATAGAAGGAATGTCTGCATTCATCTATTTTTCCTTTTAAAGCCAAATAAGATGGACTTTCTGGCCAATACCAATTGATAATCATTGCTATTATAGCAGGAAATATAGAAAATATAGATATTTGTCTCCAAGTCCAACAAAGAGCCAAAGTATGACTTGCTAAAACTCCGAATGATACAGATAACTTCTTAATAGCTACCATATAGCTTCTTCTTTTAGGATCAGAATATTCACATGCGATAATACTATTAATAAAAATAGATCCTAAATAGAGTCCGTGGATTAATCTAGCGATGAAAAGCATAACCATGTTCTTGGCTAGTGCAAGTACTATTAGACCTATTGCAACTGTTACACTTACGCTAAAATGTGTCATTTTTCGCCCAATTTTTTGCATCATTGGTGACAGTACAAAATAGCCAACTAAACCCGTGATACTATTGCAAGCAGCTGAAACAAGCACAGTAATGTTAATAATAACTAGCTTACCCACGCGGTTTCACCCGCATAAAATTTATATAATATATGTATAAGTTAAATCACTGTAAAGTTTTAACAAAATCCGTTCTGTAGTTTCTGCACGAAAGAGTACCAAACATCTATCCATACTCACAAACTTTCGCATTTGCCATATTAATAAGATTTCGCACAATTTACCTAATATCTTTTTAAATTATAGCCTATGTAATTCTGGTGAATATTATAGCAGATTCATCAGATTACTGTAAAGTTTCATCAAAATGCATGCAGTAGTTTTTGCGTGAAAGAGTAAAAAACATCCATCCATGCTCACAAACTTTTGCATTTACAACATTAGTATCTAACATAATAATCATGGATTTTAACATAATAAGCAGGCTTGTGTTATGGGGACTAGACGACAAAATACTTCTTTACATTTTTAAAAATACATACATAATACGTGTACATAGAAAACATACGTACAAATACAAATAATCATACTCATTAATAAATGTTCCAATACGGTTCTTAAGACGGTGTGCCAAACTGCTAGACCATCGAGGTTCCATGTGAAAAGTCTTCTTAAATGGCTGATGCATACAGCATTAGAACAGTTATGAAAAATAATGCAGCAAGAGTACATTCTGAACTATATATATATAAAACTGCATAAGATAGCTGGAGTGAAGATGGTATATAATAAAATTACATGAATCTTGAATTATGCAGATATTACTGAAAATATTTAGTAGCTCTTTTCAGTAATAGAATCGACAAAGTTATAATTTTCGTCTGTCTGTTTGTTTCTACAATAGTTTGGTATAAATAACTTACCCAACCAGGAAACCTCATACGACGTAGCCTTAATGTCTGATGTATTTGGTGATAGTAGTATCGGATTCAATACTGATGGTAGTGTTACACTCATAGACCCGCAAAAAGCTTGAAATATGATGCCGGATGCAATAAAACACTGTAACAGAATAGTTATAATATGATTATCTTAAGTATTATGTATCACTAGCTACTCGCCCCGGCTTTGCACGGGTATATATGTACTATATGTACATATAAGCCCTCCTCTTGAATCGCTCTACCTATTTAAAAAAACCGCTTCAAAATCCGGTGCGTAGTTTTAAAGATTTAGGCATACGTAGGGACAGACAGCGACAGCGACTTTATTTTATACTATGTAATGATGATTAACTGGCGGCGCGTCATTATGGACGGATATATAGCAAAAATTATAAATTTTAATACACCCACACGCACACACACCCTTTTTTGTGTAGACGGTTACTAAAAAAGATTAGATTATGAAGAATTCTAATTCAAAATATCTTTTAGTCTATTATAAGTTTGTAGGACTATTACAGACTCTTATGATATGTCAAATCTACCGTCAGTTCGGAATGATTTCGAGATGAGAACAATTGACAAGAAACTCAGCTCGTATTCTTTTCAAATTAATGTTGTTAACAAAAATACAGATTCATTTTTTAATTCAAAGAGAGATAGAAAGAAGAAAATTTGAATGCTGTTATTTAATAGATTGAAATAGTTATTTTGACCTAACTGTAATAGTTCAACAAATGGTATTATGAACAGAAAATTACAATCCGAACTTACCATACCTGAAGTATCTATAATTGAACTACATTAAAAATATATTTTGATTTAATTTCATATAAATGTATGTAATAAATAAAAATAAAAATCACTCACCTGTCTAAGAAAGTACTTATCATACATTTATGCTTGAAACCAATGATTTATAGTTTATTAGTGAACACATGACAATTGCATTCATGCACACACTTATAATACCAGGTGACATATTTATTTTATTTATTTATTTATTTGTAGACATTACATCAATGGTTGTAGACAAGACAATTAACAGCTATCCCTGCACTAAGCTCAAGGCTTGTGTCGCAGGAATCAGAAATCCTTAATTACAAAAACATTTACTTAAAACAGGCTCCAGTTCAACGAGGTACAAAATTAACCAATATTATATCGGTACTTTACAAAGAATAATAATAACTAAAATAAAGGTAAAATTTCATATACACTTAGACATGTCCACTTACTCATCACAAAATAAAACTTATGTAAAATACATTTTAAAATATTGGCTACAGCTACGCAGTTTTGTAATATGTAAAGTGGTATTGTTGTTATGTTGTATGTGTAACAGATGTGAAGGCTTTGCTTTTGTCAATTTCTAACGCACAATTCACATTTAACGGTTATCACTTACCGCGCCTCTGAGCGTACGATATTAAATAAATTTAATTATTTATTATTTAATTTAAAGTAATCTATTTTTTTTTATTATGTCAAGAGAAGTAGCTTCCGCGAGTAGTTCGTGACGTACAGAATGCTATGGGCGCATTCTGTGAAATTAAAAAGGATACGCTTGAATTCTATGGAATAATGAACTCTACATTACATTCAGCTCACAGCATTCTGTAGCGGAATGCGGTGAGGCTAAATGAACAGTATCAAATTCTAACATCCTTATAGAAGTAAACTAATCATCATCACCATCATTTCAGCATTTATTTATTTACCGTTGGTTATAGGCCTTCCCCAATACCTTCCACCATGTGCGATCCTCCTTCCACCTACTACCGGCCACCTTTTCAATCTAGTAAACTAATAACATATAATATTTCTAATAATTTATACAAGTTCAGATGCCGTAATTACATAGAACTGTCAAATTCAATTTTAGTTTAAAATACCAACCCCATGTGTTGTGATGATGTAAGTAAGGTACTTTAATTTAATGGTTTAATAACAATTTAAAATTATTACCGTCAATTAATTTTAAAGATACGAAATTCATGGTTATCTAGGATTTATATTTAAATGAAATTATATCAAGAATATAAAAATAGTAGTAGTTTTACATCGAAATCAATTAGTCGTTAGAATTCCTAGAATGCAGTCGATTATGTGCATATGGTGTGAAGCCACAAATCATGTGGAATGCATTAATATATTTTATATTATTTATAGTTCTTAGCCCATAACCTATTGAATTGAGAGATATTCCGAGTGAAATGACCTAGATTTTAATAGATATTATTAATAAAATACGGACGACATGATGTTAATACGTAACTTTTAATCTATCAAAAATTATTTTACAATGACAGAGTTTATTACTCAAATACAATTATGTATTTGAACTTCTATGTTCATTCAACAGACGGCTACTACGCGGTTATTTTTTTTCATTTATCATAATGATTGCTCTCAATCATACATCCCTTCTGATGCTAAATAGTTACCTTACCAAAGCCGCCAAATAAATAGTTATACCACATGTCACACGCAGATGACCTGTGCACAAATTGATTCATGTAACAAACGAATCCTGTTTAGTTAGCTTTATATGGAGACTTAATGGTTCCTATATGTACTTAATGGTAACTATTTTAACTCCATATTGAACATTTTAAAAGAGTTACATCCAACGGGATGCATCAGAATCGGAATCGATGTCTAAACAACCAGTTTGTTTACACAGCAGGTCACGTGTTGAGCGGAGAGCTTTTATTGTTAGAAACTCGACCTTGACCAAATGTTGAGTAAAGCGCTTATATAAAAACTCGCCTTTGACCGATCGGATTTTTCGTACACAGGTACACTCCACTCCTAACTAGGCCATTTGGCCCGACCACACTTTTACACACACACACGACACCGTCCTCGCCGGCAAAGACGACGACCTCAAACACACAATATCGCGCATTCAACTGGGCGCCTGCGCGCGCCCGGTTGAATGGTTTCGGAGGAGTATCGTTACAAAGTGTGTAAATCTGAACTCTAAGATCCACGCTTCGCACTCCGTTCTGGCTCACTCGACTGACTATTGATTCGATCGAATTAGTGCTTCTGGTGGTGATAAATTAAATATCTATTTAATTTTAAGCACTTTATTTTTAGAACTTTATACAAATAAATTATAATATAATAAGTAACTTATGAAAAGTTTAAATATATTATATTTGATACTGGCGACGTGAATGAATTATACAACTAAATCTTCCTCAAGCGAACCTTATAAAAATCTGTTCAGAATTTTGTATGAGATTATAGCAAATAAATAGACAGACGCTGGTGAAAAATAAATTCACCCACTTTGATTTATAACATGTGTAGTGTTTCAGTTAAAGGGTGAAGGCAGTGAAATTACAGAATAAAAGGCATATCTTACTCCTCCACATTGGCATCGCATGAGTATCACGGTTGGTAAATGATAGTATGGTGACTGTAGTACTACTCATGTACATGATCAATGGTTTCTATATGCCATGAGGCGGCCTGTCAACTTGTTTGTCATTGTTATTACATAAAAAAAAGAAAAAGTCATTATTTAGCACATTCTTCCATTCTATTATCTAACATTGGTTTCACTTCTATTGCTGTCCTATTTACCCCTTTCATTTCATCTTCAATGTCTTGTAAGGTCCTATCCTTAGTTTCAGGTAATATAAAATATAAGACAAGTATACATAATAACAGGCACAACCCATATATTAAATACATTCCATGTAATCCTGTCCCATCTATAATAACAGGAGTAAATTTCATAGTTATAAAATAAAATGTCATAAAAGATAATCCCGATACAGAAGGTCCCATACCTCTGTATTCAACAGGAAATATTTCCCCACTAATATTATAAGACACTGGTATTAATCCTACATACAATACAAAATTAAGTAATATAACAATACAAATTGATGACCACCCTATAGAGGAGTAGGAATCTAGTTGGTATTGTTGTTTTAAAAACAGTATTAAACTTAATATTAACATGAGTGTACCTGAAAAGATTCCTGAAGAGAAAAGTACAGTACGCCTTTTGAGATTGTGTATAAGAAAAATTGATAAAAAAGACGCGAGTATTGTTAATAAATCGACAGCTATAGTACAATATCCTGCAGTCACATCATCCGATACAATTTCTCTTATAATCTGTATAACATAAGTTAGGAGATAAAACCTTCCGGACACATCTATAGCTAATATCAATAATGTGGTTAATATAAAAGATTTTAAAAATATCTTGTCACGGAAGCTATATAATATTTCTATTATAATATTACTCTTTTTTCTTTTATTTTTCAGCATTGTTTCTGTCTGTGCTGCCATTAATATCTTCAATTCGTCTTGTTTCTCTATTGATTTTCCATGGAGCCAGTAGAAGGAATATTTGCACTCCTCGAACTTTCCTTTCATAGCCAAATATGAGGGACTTTCTGGCCAGTACAAACCAGTAATAATAATTATTATACAAGGAAATATAGCAAAAATCGCTACCTGTTTCCAAGTACAAGAAAGCGATAGCGCATGACATGTTAAAACTCCTACAGCTCCCATCATCTTCTTAATTGCTACCAAATAACCTCTTCGTTTGGGATCACTGTATTCGCTTGCAATTACACAATTAATGTAAACGGAGCCTAGACATAGTCCATGAGTTAGTCTAGCGACGTAGAGAGTCACTACACTATTGGTGAATATGTAAAGTAACCAACCTATTATGTGAATTACTGCTGTACCGATGTTTATCAATTTTCGGCCATACTTTTGCATTATTGGTGGTAGGGTGAAAAAGCCGATCAGACCAGTTATAGTATTGCAAGAAGCTGAAACAAGAAACTTGATGCTTGAATGTTTAAATAGAGTATATTGTAGATATTTGTACTAGCTGTTACCCGCAATTTTGTTTACTTTTTAGATCACGATGCATCCTTGACATTTATCGTTATATTTCGCTCAAATTACATAATATTTTTTTAAATTATAGTCTGTGTTATTCTGATGTATAAGCTATATTCCTGTAAAGATTCAAATCCGCTCAGTAGTTTTTGCGTGAAAGAATAACAAACATCCATCCATCCATCTCACAAACTTTCGCGTTTATAATATTAAGAAGTATAAATTACCTAGCCAAGAAGCATCGTCAGATGTTATTCTGAATTCTTTAGCATTTGGAGACAGCAGTGTTGGGATTAAGATTGAAGGAAATGATATAGATATGCCCGCGCAATAGCCGTGCAAAATAAAGCCAGATGCAACAAAACACTGAAACAAAAAAATAATAATAGGAACTCAGCACAATTTACATAGCTTAATCTAGTCCTAAAGCTAAGCAGAACTTGTGTTGTGGGTACTAGACAACAGATAAAAATACTTAAATATATTTTTTGTGGGTGAATCAGCTGTACCGTGGTCACAGAGACAATTTATCTTTATGCTATTATTTCATATAACATACATATTAAACATTAGTTTATAAAATATTTATAATATGGGCCATTAGTAGCCTGAATCAAATAAATAAAAGAAATAAATACAATAATATACACAGTACCAACACAAACAATCATACTCATGAATAGAAATGTTTATATCATTCGAGGAATGGTATCCAAGACCGTTGGCAGTAAGGCGAGGTACTAAACCTCTGAAATAAAAAATAAAATGTATAGAGATTGTACAAAACTTAGAGAGCGATATATGTTACCTTTTGTTACAAAAAACTTATCAAAAACTTGAAGAACATAATGGAAATTGAACGTTTATAGGGAAGGCTATTGAAGTGTAGAAATCTGTTATTTCGCAAAGTAAGTTTTGGTTAGATATTTTGAACATTTATAGATTTCGGTACCCACCTGTCTTAAAAAGTACTTATTGACCATTGTTGCCTTATTATGTCGGGTACTGGA